TCAATAACATACACCATGATGGAGGATTTTTTCAGCCAACCACCATATGTTGGCCACAGTCATCATGGGCAGGTCCTAACTGACAGCTAAGTTGTTAACTTGGTGTTGCTCAGCAATTGTTAAGTCTTTGTTGTTTTCAAGCTGTGAAAGCAAAGTAAATATATAAAAAACTGATCATGCCTAAAAGACATTAAACAAGGTTGCATTAAATTGATTTAAATACATATGCATTTATAGACAAGCTATCTAAGCAAATGCTGATATAACAACTATACAAACTGTGTTGAATTCTGTTGACTGCGTAAGAAATATCTATACATTTATTCTAAGTTTACACTTACAAGAGTAACAATGTCTATAACATCAAGGTCAGGACAGTCTTTCAACTCCAGGACTGGGGTGACATCTTTGGATCCACACAGAAGTGGGAAGAGAGACTGACTGAGACCAGTCAGCATTGGCCCCCCATTGATGAAAGAATGGCCAATAACTCTCCCCACCACCCTGAAAAGGTCACCATCTAGCAATGTTCTGGATGTAGAGGGAACCAGATGGTCTGCTTCGCCAATGAAAAATAAGGTTTTTCCACCACGTGTCTAAGGAGGTATAAAACAAAATCACAATGAGTGTTCAACACCATGGCAACATATTGGATTAATATAACATTCCTTTACAGTCTTCAGTCTGAGTAAGAATGTGACTTACCAAGGTCCAGGTGTAGTCCAGTGTGGATCTTATCCAACAGCAAAGAAAAGAAGTGACGTTGAACCCCATCCCTGATTGCACTATCCGCTGTGAAATAAATCCGATGTGTATTACTTTATTTTTATTTGAAATGTGTTCTTACACAGGAGCGTCTCCCTTGATATTTTTCACAGTACCGAATGGCCTTGGCCTAGAAGCATCTTCCACAAATGACAATGGACACTAAAAACACTAAGCACAGTTGACACAAAGATGCAGTTTTATACATTTTATACATACCCTTCAAGTGCACTTCAAATGGACGAGTCCAATCAACATTGGTCTGCTTATAGAAGAGGAGCATCGCTCTTTCTCTGTCTGTCTCAGTGCTGTGCATATCTAAAGTTATTAGGGTTAGGGTTAGGGTTAGGGTTAGGCTTGTCTTCTGCATTCTGCAACATTAAGTCCCGGTACATTTTTGTAGCAGATTGTAAATCAGGCTCCAGCCTCCACTCTGTTTATAAAAAAAAAAAAGCTGAATGTTCTTTTTTATGTAATTGTAGCTGTCATTATATAAAAATACTAACCAATATAAAATATACAAATAATATAAAAAAAAATAAACTGCTCGTAGAACAACACCTTCAAACAGAAGATCCATTGACCAGCTGGCTCTGTCAGAAGGTGTGGAAGAAGCAGTAGCCTGAGATGCTGGATGGGTGGAGGGTGAGGATGAAGCAGTGGCCTGAGATGCTGGATGGGTGGAGTGTGAAGATGAAACAGTGGCCTGAGATGCTGGATGGGTGGAGTGTGAGGATGAAGCAGTGGCCTGAGATGCTGGATGGGTGGAGTGTGAGGATGAAACAGTGGCCTGAGATGCTGGATGGGTGGAGGGTGAAGATGAAACAGTGGCCTGAGATGCTGGATGGGTGGAGGGTGAGGATGAAGCAGTGGCCTGCGATTCTGGATGGGTGGAGGGTGAGGATGAAGCAGTGGCCTGAGATGCTGGATGGGTGGAGGGTGAGGATGAAGCAGTGGCCTGAGATGCTGGATGGGTGGAGGTTGAGGATGACGCAGTGGCCTGAGATGCTGGATGGGCACTGTATGGAGATGAATCAAGCAGCCAGATCACCACTGCAGTAAAATTGTATGTATATGATAAATTGTAAAATGGTTACTTACGTTTCACAGACATCAACATGGTCTTGAATGTGGTTCATCATGAAATTCTGGCCACAGTACATACAAGTCACCATGTACTGAGTTAGTGACTCATCCTCCTGTGTCTGCGTGAGATTCTGTAATGAAAAAAGTCCAGTCCTTTTTAATTTGCTTTTGAACTAGACCAATAAATACAGGACACTACACAGATTTCTTTTAGATATACACAAGACAAACGTTGTACTTAGAACCTCCTACAGTGTCTATGACTGACATGCAAGTAATCATACATAATAACCAAGACTGTGTATAACTACTGTAAAACATTGCGGCAGCCACCATAGATGTAGAAAGTATCCAAATATGGTGGTTATACCTATGCTTTATTCACACAAGCTTTAAGTGTCCCTTCAGCATGCCAACTTTCACATAACACAGGCTAATTCACATTCACCCAATCTGTTAACATCAAAGTAAATTGTTTACCTGTAAACTGATATCCTTCTGTAGTGGCCTCACATATATAATAGCTTGGCCAATGTTGGCTGACGTGCATAAATAATGGGGAGTGTACCCATTACTGGGGCAATCAATTACTGCTAGTGTTCGAGACCGTGAGGAACCTCTTATCCGAAGGAGCTGGTAGCCCCCACAGTCATGCAAAGCAGGGTAATGAGACAGTAACATATTGGTAAATTCAGTGGCAGTGCAGAATTTATCTGTAAGTGAAAAACACAGTCCTTATTATTGAGTGATAAAATAACAAAACCTTTTTACAGTGTACACATTGGCCTTTGTCAATAATCATTCCTTGATGTCCGTGCAAATTTAGCTACTATAACTTTTTTACAGGTGTGTATGCAATTTTGGTTCTATGTGCTGTACTGTTACCAGAAAATGTTAGTCTTCTTTCTCCCAGGCCTGCCTTCTCTAATTCGTATTTTTCTGCTGTCCCCGGAACAACTTCTTGCCGCCGGTTAGCCAGGCAGAAGAATCTGTGCGTGAATGTTTTTTTGGTGGTCTTTGGCATCAAGCGTGGTGCAGTTTGAGGCCGATTATAGGGCCTAAAAAGCCTTAATACCTCCGCTGCAAACAAAAATAACAAGTTAATCTTTTAAATAATGCAATAGTAAATGAGATATGGTTATACATAAGTTTTCATAACACATTAAATCATTCAAGTGACACACCATTTGACATTTTTAACATTTAACTGATCCCTTTTTCAGAGTAGAACAACTAGGGATAGTAATTAAAGGGATAATAACCCTGGAGCAGCTTCATGATAAATACCTTGCTCAGGGGCAGAATTGTGAATTAACCTTATTGGGTTCCACATTGAAGGTGTGATCCCCAGCCACTACACAAGCACTGTCATCAATATAATCTACATGATTGTAGGCTTTAGTATGACCATATTTCGGCCAATGAACCTTACAATGGTTTGAAAGTTAGAAGCTGGGAGCAATTGATTAGTTGGCAGTATGCTTCAAATGAGACTACCATTTTCTCTTATTGTTTTATTTTAAATTTTGTATGGGTTGCATATTTTGTTGGGCTAACGTCTCTGTCAGATAATGTCGACGGGTAGCATTTTTCGGCTGCTTAACGTTACATGTGAAACAAGATTACCTCGCGTTCCACTCTCTCCATGACGAGCCGGTGTGCCAGCAGCTGACACAGTCACCGGCCGATCTGGAGTTTGGCTTGGACTCCTCTCTTCAAGTGCCGCCGCGGCCTCTCGGAGAAGATGGACAACAGACTTCTCCATTGCATTTGCCTCTTTCGCGCGAATTCCAGTGAGCGTGACGATTAAACAAGGAAGTGACGTTGTTAATGAAGGTCCGCCTTGATGAGCGGTCTGACAGTTGGGAATTGCAAATTGAGTTTCCCCACCAACATGCAATGCAATTGCCGGGGACGCCATTGCCATTTGAATAAAGTGGCAAAAAACCCATGGCAATACGAAATGCAATTCAGTGCCTTGTTATTCTATTTATCATTCAAAATATTTTGAAATGAATTAAGGATTGCATAAGCACTTTGCACATTGAATTGCCGATTGCAAAATGTATTTAAAAATTACATGTTCAGATTAAATATTGAAATGACAAATGCATGCTCTGATTGAATAATGAATTGCCATTTGAATAAATTGGCAAAAAACCCATGGCAATACGAAATGCAATTCAGTGAATTGTTATTCTATTTATTATTCAAAATATTTTGAAATGAATTAAGGATTGCATGAGCACTTTGCATATTGAATTGCCGATTGCAAGATATATTTTCAAATTACATGCTCAGATTAAATATTGAAATGACAAATGCATGCTCTGATTGAATATTGAATTGCCAATTGCAAAATGAATTGCCATTTGAATTTTTGTGCTTATAATCTTCCATAATCCTCACTGTATCAGTACATTCGTGCCCTAGGATATCGAATGTACCCCATGACCATGTTGATCCCTAGACAAATTTGCATTTCTCCACTTGTCACTGCCAGATTTTCTTTCCCTTTCTGCAGGGCATACATGTTGGTGTTGTGCACAATGTCATAATTGAGATCTATGGGAAACATGCCTAAAGAAATCGATTTGTTCTCTTCACCAACATTCACTCTCCAGTCTCATAGAAAAGGGGGCAAGTCTCCCGCAAAGTCATTGTCTTGAAGTTTCCATACATATTTGCGGGCTTGAGTGCCTTGCGGATATTTGCCACAGCTCCCTCATCATGCTTACCTCCCTCTGCATCCTGTCCCTCATCATCCTTGCCCTCATCATCTTGACTGTCAGCATCCTGACTCTATGCATCTCCTTCATCATCCTCATCTCCTATGTCTCTATTGTTCTCTGGCAGCCACTCATTATCACTGTAGTCACTATACTCATCGTCACTGCAGTCAGAGGGAAGTTCCTGGACTATTCTATAGTCTTCCCTATTCTTTGCTGAACTTGTGGTCTAAAAATATGACAAAATGATCATTTTTACTAACACAAACTACAACTAATCTGTACAAAAAAGTATATTTTTAAAAAGTAACTTATAGGTATACCCAAAATGCACTGAATTGCAACCAAAATAGTCATAATAAAAGATGAATCAACTACATGACTTATGTTGGAAATATACTTATCAATGCATGACGTCCACTTTGTTGGACACACGGTTAATCGCAATTTACTACTTATTTGAAATTAAATTTTCAAAACTAAAAGAATAATATTGTTACTTAGATACTCCTGCATATCATCATATTTTTTTTACCTGTAGATTTCTCCTAGAATAGAAGGATTGACAGGATATTCCAGCAGCGAATGAATAGTGTAGCTGTCTGTCGGCCATCTTGGATTCAGATGAGTTTCACTTGTAGTTACAACAACTTACCACTGAATGAACCTCAATGGAGGGGGGCAGCAGAGAGCATTCTAATGGCGGAAATGCAATTCCACCATAGAAAGCATTGCATTTGGGAGAAAATGACTTTTAAACTGCTGTCTTGTTTGAGAAGTTTAATAAAAAACAAACAAAAAAAAAAAAAACTGCTGTCCACTGTAGTGACCGCTATGCGCCAGAGGCACCAAATTTATTTAATTATATTTAATAGCTGTAGGAACTTGTTGGGCAAAGCCGACAAGAACGAGGCGAACCCCGTTATGCGGTGAAAAGAGACTTTAATGAGGATCGGTGCGTCAGAAGCCGAAGGGGTTGTCAGGTAGAGTAGTCGGGTCGCAAGCCAGGGGTCGGATGCCGGGGAAGTCAGTCCTACAAGCAGAGACGAGACGGGGTAATGACGGGACGGTAGGCACAAGGAGGTCGGGTTCGGAGTACGGGGCGTAGGCAGGCAGGACGGACGAGATGGGCAGGACGAACGAGACAGGAACAGGACAAAAGAATGCTTGGTAAAGTGCATGGGCATGACAACAATACTTCGCAAAGTAGCATGGGAGGTGACTGCTTTAAGTAGAGAACTCGTTAGTGGATCATGGGTTACAGCTGTTCTGCCCCGCCCCTCTGGGCGTGACAGGGCCCCCCCCAAACGGCCGCCTCCTGGAGGCCGAAAGTGACGGCGCGGGCGACCCCTGGGACGGGGTGCCGGCTTGGAGGGGTGGTCGCGATGAAAGGCGGACACCAGGTCAGGGTCCAGGATATCCTTCGCCGGCACCCACGAACGCTCTTCAGGGCCAAAGCCGTCCCAGTCCACGAGGTACTGCAGAGTCCTGGCCCGTCATCGGGAGTCCAGGAGCGCATGAACCTGGTAGACGTGGGACCCATCTTGCAAGATACGAGGCGGCGGAATCGTGGATTCAGGAGAGGGATGTGTGGCACTGTACCTGACCGGCTTTAAGAGGGAAACGTGGAAGGTAGAATGAATACGATAAACACGGGGAAGGTCCAAACGAAATGTGTCGGGACCTACTTGGCAGATGATCTTAAACGGACCTATGAACCTGGCCGACAACTTACGGCATGCAGGGAGTTTAAGATTTCGAGTAGCGAGCCAGACCCGCTGTCCCGGTCGGTATGCTGGGGCAGGGCGCCGATGTCTATTCGCCTGGGTTTGTTGTCGAGCTGCTTGGGCGGAGAGATCTGAATGTGCCTTTTGCCAAACCTCTCTAGCAGTCTGATACCAGGTTTCCACCTGAGGGACGTCACTGGGACAAGTCCGGGCTGGAAACCTAAAACACACTGAAAGGGTGACATGCGAGTGACAGGGTTTATGCGGGTATTTATACTGTATTCTGCCCAGACGAGGTGACTGGCCCAGTCAGAGGGTTTGTCCTTGCAGAGCAGGCGTAGTGCTTTCGAGACTTCCTGGTTGGTTTGTTCGGCGAGTCCGTTCAATTGAGGGTGATATGCAGAGGTGGGACTGAGAGAAATGTTGAGCTTGGCACAGAAAGCTTTAAACCTCGGTCTGACACTAGGTCTTCTGGTAGTCCATAATATCGGAACACCCACTGAATCAAGACGTCGGCCAATTCCGTAGCACTAAGAAGCTTAGGCAGAGCAATTAGGCGACACATTTTCGAGAACCGGTCCACAACGGTGAGTACGACGGTGTTACCTCGGGAGAGGGGTAAGTCAGTGATGAAGTCCATGCCCAAATGAGACCAGGGACGAGATGGAATTGGAAGAGGATGAAGCAGTCCTGCTGGTGATTGGTGGGATGATTTGAGTTGAGCGCACTCAGGACAGGAGACGACGTACTGCTCTACCTCCGCTCTCCAGCCTGGCCACCAATACCGTTGCGAGACTAGATGTTGGGTAGCGGAGCCCCCCGGATGTCCCGTACCCCGTGACGCATGTACCCATTGAATAACAGCAGATCGGAAGTTGTCGGGGACGTACAACTTACCAATGGGGCATCCAGTAGTCATTGGCGGCGCGAATGGTTTCCTCTAGTGACCAAGTGATTGTTGCAGCAAAGCAGGTTGGTGACAATATGGGTCCGGAACGATCAATTGCCTCGGGGGGGATCGTAAAGTCGAGACAGGGCATCAGCCTTGATATTTTTCTTCCCAGGCAGGTATGTTACTTTAAACTGAAAGCGAGCAAAAAACAGAGCCCAACGGGCTTGGCGTGCAGATAATCTTTTGGCATTTTGTAGGTATTCCAAGTTGCGGTGGTCCGTGAAGACTTGGAATGGATAGCGACTTCCCTCAAGCCAGTGTCTCCATTCCTCCAGGGCTGTTTTGATGGCTAAGAGGTCCCTGTCCCCGACGTCATAATTCCTCTCCGCAGGGGTAAGTTTCTTGGAGAAGTAGGCACACGGATGTCGGCGACCCGTTGTCTGATCTTGTTGAATGAGGATTGCCCCAACGCTGGCTTCGGAGGCATCTACTTCCAACTCGAAGGGGGGTTCCGGGTCTGGTAGGCGTAGGACGGGCGCCGTGCAGAAGGCTTGTTTCAGGCGGAGAAAAGCTGTCTCTGCTTCGGGCGTCCATTTCAAGGGCGAGTTGGCTCCCCCGCGTTAGAGAGGTCAGGGGGGCCGCCACTTGACTGAAGTTCCGAATGAAACGGCGGTAAAAGTTGGCGAATCCCAGGAAATGTTGTAGTTCCTTTAAAGAGTGGGGTTGGCGCCACTGGCGAATGGCCTCCACCTTCTTTTCGTCCATAGCCACCTTACCGGGTCGGATGACGTAACCAAGAAATTGGACTTGTGTCTTGTGAAATTCGCATTTCTCCCCCTTTGCGTATAACTGATGTTCTCGTAGTCGTTAGAGTACTTGGCGGACATGCCCCACGTGTTGAGAGAAGGAGGGGGAGTAAATCAGAATATCATCAATATAGACAATCACGAATTGGTGCACCAGGTCCCGAAACACCGTGTTCATGAAGGCCTGGAAAATAGAAGGGCTGTTAGTCAAACCGTACGGCATAACCCGGTATTCGTATTGGCCGGTGTTAGTGATAAACGAGGTCTTCCATTCGTCCCCTCTGTGAATCCGAATCAGGTTATAGGCGCTACGGAGATCCAATTTGGTAAAAAAGCGGGCCTCTCGCAGTTGTTCTAAGGCAGGGGGGATCAAGGGCAAAGACTCTCGCCTTTTTATGGTGATAGCATTCAGGGAGCGGTAATCAATACACGGACGGAGTCTACCGTCCTTTTTCTTTACAAAGAAAAACCCGGCGTTTACAGGTGACGTAGACGGGCGGATGATACCTTGAGCGAGACCCTCTCGTACGTAAGTTTCCATGGATTTCTCCTCACTGGTGGACAGAGGGTATAGCCGTCCCTTAGGGAGTTGCGCCCCCTCCAGGAGCTCGATGGCACAATCGTATTCCCGATGCGGCGGTAGCTGAAAGGATCTATCCTTGCTAAAAACATCTCGGAAATCAGCATATTCAGGGGGAAGAAGAGAGATCCTCTGGGCTGGGGCTCTCCACTTGGGAGGCTACGCAGAGGACGAGCATGCAAAATTGGGAACACCGTGGTGACCAGGCGGTATGCTCACCCGAGGACCAATCGATGTGGGGGTTGTGAGTTTGTAACCATGGATATCCTAGAATTATCAGATCCTTAGAGGCAGGAAGCACCAATAGTTCGATCGTCTCAGTGAGTAGTGCCCCTACCCGGAACATGACAGGTCCCGCTTTATGGGTGACGTAACTGCCCGGTAGCGGTTTACCACTGACTCCCAGAACAGAAATAGGTGGGGACAGCGTTTGCAGAGGCATCTGTAATTCGGAAGCGAGGGTGACGTCTATGAAATTACTAGCAGCCCCGGAGTCGATTACGGCGTGAACATGCCGCACCCTCCCCTCCACATCAAGAACCACGGGCACCGTGCACAGTTTTGGTGATACCCCAAAGAGCCCCGAGGAGCCTACCTGCATAGATGATTGGGAGGGGCGGCTCGGACAGGAGCGAAGGAGATGTCCGGGGTTTCCGCAGTAAAGGAAAAGACCATGAGTCCTACGGCGATGACGTTCCTCCAGCGAAAGCGGCATACGTCCTAACTGCATAGATTCGGCTGGATCTTCCGATGGCGTCGGTCTGACGGGGGGAACAGCTGGCCGGGTTCGCCTACGACGTCGTTCACGGTGGGTGTTATCCAGGGTGACCGATAGACTAATATAGTCTTCGAAGGAGAGCCCTGCACTGCATGCTGTCAGCTCGTCCTGGATCTCAGGGTTAAGTGCGCGAAGGTACATAATCCGGAGACAGTCCTCGGGCCAGCGTAAACCCGCAGCGATCGTGCGGAATTCCAACCAGAACTCCGCAACTGTCCGGGCTGGCTCCCTGTTTTAAATCAAAGAGGCGTTCACCCAGACTTCGTCCCACAGCCGGGTGATTAAAGATGGCCTTGAATGCTTGCTGGAATTCCCTGGCCGAATCCAGCAGGGGGCTGTCGTCCATCTATAACGCGGTGGCCCAATCTCTTGCTTGACCGGTAAGGAGAGAGATGACGAACCTGACTCGTGAGGTTTCTTCCACGAATCGATCTGGGTGCTCTTCCATGTACAGCCCACACTGCATTAACTCTTTCATTGTCGCCGCCTAGTGGTTCGGACGCATACGTCCGAATTTTCAATAACAG